ATCGTTAGCGGTGCTGAGCACGGAGGTGAGGAGGTCGTGCAGGGCTGAGGAGCACTTTTGAAGGCTGTTTCTTGGATAAGACTTAGTTTGTGGGTTTGCGTGAGTCTGGGTGTTAAGGGGACGCTTTGAAGGTACCGTTTTTGGAGCAGCGCTTTCCTAACTGTCTGTGTCTGCTTGAGCTGCTGTTTTCTGCCTGCAGAACAGCATGGGACCGCTGGAGATGGCTGCCAGCCCCATGGCCAACTCCTCCCTGGCGGCAGGGTGGAAAATCTGGGAGAGCAGGGGAAGGCTCATGGTTGGGGTTGATTTTATTTATTTTTTTGTGTGTGTGTCTTCCTTTCAGGAACCCCCTTGTCCGGTCTGCAGCCATGGCCACCTCGGCAAGCTCCCACCTGAGCAAAGCCATCAAGCACATGTACATGAAGCTGCCGCAGGGGGAGAAGGTCCAAGCCATGTACATCTGGATCGATGGGACTGGGGAGCACCTCCGCTGCAAAACCCGCACGCTGGACCATGAGCCCAAGAGCCTTGAAGGTGAGAGGGTTGGTGTAGGACTCACAGCCCTTTGCTGGGTGGAGGAAGCAGCCATGCTCGGCTGCTCTGGAGTAAGGATGCAGTTTCTCCCTTTTCATGGCAGAAGGGTGGTATTTGGAGAAAACGCCGCTCCTCACCCCCTCCCAGTTATCCCCTTCCTCAAATACCCAAGGGGACATTCCCAGCTCTCCAGATGTGGAGTTTCATGATCTGGGGTTCAGAACCGGTCCCTGGCACTGCCCCTGCTGCGGAGGGGGCTGTTGGCAGGGACTGGGGGCTGTTGGCAGGGGCTGGGTGGCCCATTGACTCTCGAGTACTCGTTTTGGCCGGAAGTAGTTTGGCAGAAGAAAGTGTAAGGGAAAGAATGGAGCTATCCGGTGTAATTAAGAGCTTGTGTCCCTCAGAACAAACAGTCCCAGCTTACACAATAATAGCATTAGGATTTTCCCCAGGTTGCCATGGTGCTGGCTGGAGACAGTTATGAAATGAAAATACTCTGTGTGACTGAGCAGAATTATCTTTTTTTTTTTCTTGCCTCTTTCTATTTTTTTTCCCTTTTTCCCTCTAAGGGAGTGGTTGGCACAGCTCCTTTGAAATCTTTGTGCTTCCTATCCTCCCACTTTCCCCCCTCCCCCAGGATATGGAGGAGATAACATTGCCCGGGTGGAGTTCACTGCTGCTCCCGCTGTGCTTTGCCCTGGAGGGCAGTGCATAGCCAGGAGGGGTGGGCGAGGGTCCAGGCTGGCCCTACTCTTCCTCCTCCTCCTTCACATGAAACTCGACCTATACACCTCCTCCAAGCCATGTCGCATGGATAAGGGTATTTCATGGCTCCCCCCTCATTCCTACAGCTTGAAGATATCTGATGCTCTGTCCTCTCCCGTCTTGAGAGCAGAGTGGGTGCTGTGCTCATCCCGGTGGTTGTTGCGACATGGGAAACATCCTCAGTGCTGCTTGGTCTTGGCTGGCAGCCCAGCTCCTTATGTTTCCCAGGGTGGCTGGGGAGTTGCACTCCCCTGTTTTTTTCCTTGTTTTTTTATTTTCTTTCCTTCCCCTATTTGGAACAAAGTCAGCTGAGCTGGGATTAAACTTATTGTAGGCCTGTTCTCTATAAGCATTTTCACCTCTAATATTGGAGGGCGGCCGGGAGCCCATCCTCCTGGTGACCCTGGGTCACTGTGGCTCGTTCCTCTCTCTGCTTCAGATCTCCCCGAGTGGAATTTTGATGGCTCCAGCACCTTCCAGTCTGAAGGCTCCAACAGCGACATGTACCTGCGACCTGCTGCCATGTTTCGGGACCCTTTTCGCAAGGATCCCAATAAACTAGTTCTCTGCGAGGTCTTCAAATACAACCGCCAGTCTGCAGGTGAATGGACCTTCTCCTGATGGAAGTGGTGGTTCTGGGGAGAGGAAGGGGAGACCTATCCAAATGCTGTTCGTGCCCTTAGCATCATGCATGACACGGAAATAATCCCTGCCCTGACAGTAAAAGGCAATCCAAGAGCCGGTGGTGGAGATAAGGGCTGGCCCTGGGATTCTTCCCGAACGCTGCCGGGACGCACACTGTAGATAAAGTGGAAGTGGGGAATGGAGGTAGAGATGCTAATAAGCCTCATGTTGCTTTTCCGTTCTAGAGACAAATCTCCGGCACACCTGCAGGAGGATTATGGATATGGTGTCCAACCAGCACCCCTGGTTTGGGATGGAGCAAGAGTACACTCTTCTGGGGACAGATGGGCATCCGTTCGGCTGGCCTTCCAACGGCTTCCCTGGACCCCAAGGTAACCTCTCGTGAGTCTGTGCTGGACCCAGTTGGGCGTCAGTAACGCCGTGTTTGAACCGTCATCGGTGTGAGGCAGCTGAAGTGCTTCAGGGGAGCTGTAAGATTTGAGGTGTTTGTAGAACTGAAGGTGGACGGTAGCAAGCAGGACATTGGCAAAAACTAACCCGTGAAATTAAGATCCTTACAGAAAGGCTAAGACAAAGTTTGGCCACATCTAAATTTGCTCCTTGGTTTCTTGGTTTGCAGATGGCTTAAACTGTTGCCCAGCGTGACAGGGCGCAAGCTCAGGCTTTCAGAGGGACTTGCTTTGCGTCGTTGCTCTGCTCTGGTAGTGCTTCCATGAAAAACAGATTTTGAGGCTTTTCCGTATGTCCTAAGCCTTTACAGAGTTCTTCCCTGCACGTGCTTGGTCTTCACTGAATTTAAGCCTTTTTCCTCTTGGAAACTCATGTTCCTCTTGCTGTTCACGTTGCAGGTCCATACTACTGTGGGGTAGGGGCTGACAAAGCCTATGGCAGAGACATTGTGGAGGCCCACTACCGAGCGTGCCTTTATGCTGGTGTGAAAATTGGAGGAACCAATGCAGAAGTGATGCCGGCCCAGGTAAATCGTTTTAGGTGCCTCACAGAATGAGATAGTATGGAAGAATCCCAGGCAGTGGGAGCTCTTGGCTCTGAGCCATGTGGTTTTATTGATGATGAGAACATAAGGGGGTGGGAAGTGTCTCTGCACCACTGAGCCAGCGACTCCTCCTCCTTGTAGTGGGAGTTCCAGGTGGGACCATGCGAAGGGATTGAGATGGGGGATCACCTCTGGATCGCACGCTTCATCCTCCATCGGGTGTGCGAAGACTTCGGTGTCGTTGTGTCCTTCGATCCCAAACCCATCCCTGGGAACTGGAACGGTGCTGGTTGTCACACTAACTTCAGCACTAAGAACATGAGGGAAGATGGAGGTCTCAAGTAAGTTGTGGGGTTTTTTGGGTTTTGTGGATTTTTTTGAGATGGGCCAGTAGTATCTGTGTGTTAAGCAGCAGGCTAGACTTGGTTGGTAGCAGTGATCTTTTTGCAGAGCTTTTGACCGCATAGGAGATGTCACACTGGTGCTTGGTGTTGTGTTTCAACTTTCTGGATTTTTTTTTTTCTTCTTGGTGCTGGGTGGGAATTGCAGCCAGCAGTACAGCTCTCTCGGTGCTGACGGAAGCACAGGTGGCCAGGATGCAGCTGTTTGTGACAGGCCGTCCAGCTCTGCATCTGCCAATGCTACAGACAAACTCAGGACAGGCCTTTTTTTTGTTTGTTTGTAACCATGAGCAAAGAGGAAGACCACTTGCTTTTGTCTGGGCCAGGCTATGGAAGCAAATGCCATGTTTTCTTAAACAAGAAGATCCTGAAAACATAAAACCAGAGTTCCGTATGGGGCTGATGTGCGGGCAGGGACCTTCCAGCACTGGGTTGCAGTGGAGCTGTGAAGGGATGATTCTTCCTGGCAACTGCGTTTGCTTTCTTTAATCTTGGTGATGTCCTGAGATGATGAGCCAACCCGTGACTTTGTGAGCTTCCCAAACAGAAACTTCTGTGTTAAGGAATCTTCCCTCCGAGAGCAGGTTCCTTAGGGTGATGCATCTGTGGGATCTGGCCATGGGTCAGACCGGTGGTGTCCCACACACAGCACTCCCAAGGGACCTTTTGAGGCCATGGCGATTCTCTTCCCAGAAACAGCCTGGCCTGGAAGTAGAAGCGGAGAGAAGCCCTGTGTCGAGATGATGAGAGAAGCATGTTGTAGGGCGTAGGCTTCATCATGAAGTGGTTTGGGGACAGCAATTGGAGCTGGTGCCATCCATCAGATGCTCACTGTGCCCCCCTGCCCCACCTTGCTCCCTTCGCAGGCACATCGAAGAGGCCATCGAGAAGCTGAGCAAGCGTCACCAGTACCACATCCGTGCCTATGACCCCAAAGGGGGGCTGGACAATGCCAGGCGCCTGACGGGTTTCCACGAGACATCCAACATCCACGAGTTCTCCGCTGGCGTGGCCAACCGCGCTGCCAGCATCCGCATCCCCAGGAACGTGGGCCATGAGAAGAAAGGCTACTTCGAGGACCGCCGGCCCTCCGCCAACTGCGATCCGTACGCGGTGACAGAGGCCCTCGTCCGCACGTGTCTCCTCAACGAAACTGGAGACGAGCCCTTCGAGTACAAGAACTAAGCGGACTGCGCCCACGGACACCGCCTTCCCCCCGTGCTTCCCGCACCCCTAAACTTCCCTTCTAAATGTAACCCCGAGGGTACCAGATAACATGTTCTGTGTCTCAGTAACTCTTGTTGTTGTGAGGTGGGGAGGAGGGCAACTTTAGTTTTATCGATGTCTGTTTGTCATTGACTCTTCAGAAGACAAGAGAAGGAGAGATTGTTAGAGAACTTTTAACCACTGTTTTATTATTTTTGGTTTTTTTTTGTCTAATTTGTGTACATCTGATGGGATCCAGTGGCTTCCAGGGACCGACTGTGCACACAAGAGGCCAGTAAGCAGGTGGAAGGCTTAAAAACCATAGCTGATTTCCCCCTCCAAGAGTCAAATTTGGGGTGTTAGCCCCACCGCCGGCTCTCTGCAGGCTGATGGTTCTCTAAGGTTGGTGCCCTTCTGCAGGGAAGGGAAGACGGGAGCTGTGATGGAGCCCTGCGCGCTCCTACCTGTATGGTGTGATGGGGAGACCTTCACCCTCTGGCCGCTCCGAGGTTTCTGGGAATCTTCTGGCGTATTGAGCTCAGCGTAGGAGCGTTGAGGAGAACTCCTGTTTCTGTCACTGGAAGTCAACTGGTCTCCGATTCGTAACACAGAGTGAAGTAGTATTTTTCTATTTAAATATAAAAACAAACAAAAAAAATTATATATGAAAGTGGTTGTTTTTTTTTTTTAAAAAAAAAAAGACATGATGTTCCAATGACTCACCCGGCTAGGGCAGGCAGAGCTCCTGAGGATGCTGTCAGAGGGCCTCCAGGTGGGACCGAGGATGAGCTTGGAGGGCTCGGTGGAGGAGACTCGGATGAGGTTTGTTTCAGCGTGGAGTGGAGTTTGCAGGAGGCGGTTCCTGGACCTGGGATTGCTGTAACTCGAGCAGCTGCGACGTGCCCGTGAGCGTGTAAATCAACAAGAGGAAGGTGTCCTGAACTAGGTGTTGACCGGTCAACTTAACCGTGTTCCGGACAGAGCTGTGGGTGTTTTCCCTTTCCAGCGGGGCTAGCATGTCGCTAAAGCAGGGCTTTTGATAAAGAAGAGAAAAAAAAGGGTTTAGATGATATATTTTTTTTTTTCATAATGTTCTTAGTTTCTAAAATGGAATGGTTTTACAGGGACCGTTGGTGTCTCTGTAGTGTCCTGGCTCTGGGGCTGCCATCCAGCTGCGATGGGGGCTAGGAGAAGGGAGAGGCCGCCTGTCCCTCCCAGCCAGCCTTGGCACCTCCCAGCTCATGCTGGGGGGGTTCAGACGTTCTGGGATTTTTACACTTGGGTATCTTAGATGGTGCCAGTTATATTCTGTTGCATTTGGACTTCTTCTGAATAGTTTTTTTTATATATATATAATTAAAAAAAAAGAAGAACAAAACCTCAATTCTGACTTCTGCCTCCTTTCTGTGATCCATCCTGGCAGCTTCTTTTGTGTGCGTGTTGCTTTCACCATTTGAAGGGAATTGGACCCTGATAGTGGGTAGGCTTTGGCTTTTCATTTGTGGGGTGGGTTTTTTAGGGGGCAGGAGTCTTGCAATCTAGGTGTGCTCTCCAGAAAATGGAGTTTTGGAGGTGGCTGTTGATTCTCCGGTGAGTGATGGTCTAGCCGTGACTAGAGTGGTACGGGAAAGGGACTGGGCTTCGGAGTGTCCATAGGGAGCGTTATGGGCTGAGCACAGGTGTTTGTGCATCTCCCCAGCCTCCTCCACGCAAGTGCTACAGGATGTAGAAATGCCTCAGAAAATAAAATTCCAGCAAACTTCATGAAAAAATGGGCTTTGTGGAAGAAGACCCTTTCTCACTCTCCCTATGGAGAGAGTGCTGCTCGTCCACCTTTGGTGTAAAAGTGGGCATTTAGAAAAGTAACCAAGGTAGTAGAAGTGTGTCACGTTGCTTCTTAAGTTTTTTATTTAGCTTGTGGTGCTATTTTCCCAGCTCCCTGAGAGGTACCTTCTCCAGGGATAAACGCTTTAACCGTTTCCATCTTTACGGATTAACTACACACGAGCATACTGCTGGGCTGTTCCGGCTGGCATGTTTTTGTGGACCAAATGGTCTTTTGTCCCTTCCCTTCTGGGGAATGTTCAAGCCAGCCCCTTCTTCACTGAGGCCCCAAAGTTACCCAATCTTCCTGTGCCCATGTGGGGTGGAGTGTTACTGGAGCAGAACCAAAGTGGACACCGTGTCCTTTCCTCTGATCGTGGCATGGCCACGAGGACTTTGGCCTCTGTCTGGGCTGGAACAGGGGTACCACAGCCAGAAGAAATCCGTGCTGCTCTGTACTAAGTCAGGAACCCAGAGATGTTGGGGTTTTCTGCTGATTTGGGTGCAGGGAGGGGCAGCTGTTGTTCTTTCTGCCTTCCAAGAAAATGTTACAGAGGGGAAAAATGGATTACGCCTCAATTGAGGAAACTTCTGTAAGGCCATTTGGACATAAGGAGGCACAAGAAATGTTAATGCTTTTTTTTTTTTTTTTTTAAGGCTCCTATACCTCTGAACACGATGGATCTTTCAGGCTGGAGCCTTGTCCCTCCGGAGACCCTTTTCTCCTGGGGAACAAAGGAATTGGGAAAAGGGGACATGGCTTAGTTTTGGCCACCAAGCATCACCAGTAGCTGATGGGCAGTCAGGTTTTGTCCTGGGGCTAAACACCATCTCCCTGTGCCTTGTTGATGCAGAGATGGGGACTACCATTTGTGTCTCCCTACAGGGGATGCCATCTCCAGGCTGGTCATCAGGGTGGTAACGGGAGCAGGCTTGGGTCCCTTGCTTCTCTGGCTGCCTTGAACATAAATTTAGGACAGAGTTTGATGCTTAATAGTTCCTCTTGTTCTCAGCTGAGAAAGCATTTTATTCGCTCACTTCACAATTACCCAACTGAAAACGAGGTCAAAGCAACAAATGCTGTGCTGCAAAATGGCTTTTCAGATGATTATTAAAAATTAAATGTTAAAAAAAATTATAATGAGTTAGAAGGGAAAATCTTTCCTTTTCTCTAGACGCTGGTTTTTAACTTTTTGCCTAAAACCTCCTTACTGAGTTTGTCTTGTGGTTACTTAAACACCATTTCCCAAATATGTAGGGTAGAGAGGCCTCCTCTTAAGACTGTGGAGCTCTTGCAAACTTAGCCTGAAGACTTCAGAAGCCGCATTTACTGCTTATGGATTTCTTAGCTTCTCAGGACGAAGCAAATTCCTTTTCTCTGCTTATTCACACATCCTTAAAACGTAAGCAATGATATAGAAACGTTCTCTGAATACAAGAAAAACTTGAATATCGGTCCCAAAGGGTTTGGCACATTGGAGCATTGGGAACCACTCCGAATGAGGCAGTCAAAATTAGCACCAGCTTTTTGAAACACCTGTTGATTGCGCTCCCTTTTCATCAAATACCAGCTCAGGGGACAAGGCTGCTCCAAAACAATTAATATATCTACTCACACGCCAGGCTTTTCCCCATAACGAATTTTATGGCAATCAAGATAAGATTAGCCACAGCTCCCTTCCAATACAGCCAGCAGCAGATGACCTGATGGAGATCACACTTGCAGCATCTTTTAACCCCAGGCTGTGCCAGCCTCATTGCTGTGAGGACATCAGGGCTTTTCTCCTCCTCAAAAGCCTGATGAAGCAGGTGTGCCTGGTTGGGTTTATTCTGCTCTTTCAGAGTGCCCTGGTGCTGCTCCAGTATCCACGTAACAGTCCCTTTATTTTATTTTTTCTTTTTTTTTGAGTTTTTTAGTGCTATTTGATCTTCATAGATGACCCTTTTTTGGTAGGTCAGCCTTCGCATCTTTATGAAGCCTCCAGCCCTGGTTGTGACCACTCGTCTTGAACGCAGCTTCTGGAGGAGAAATCAGCCAGTCTTAGGTGAGTAAGGTTTGGCCGAGCTTTCTTTTGGATGCTATTACCTGGGAGGTGGTGATGGTGAGCAGCATTTCTTCTTGTTGCTAGGCAAAATTGGGTTTATTTCTCTAAGTCTGTGCTTTTCCCTTTTCCTGGGATGTTGATTTTGGCCTGTGAGACTGTCCTGCATCTCTTTGTGATTGTGGAAGACGGGGAGGGGTGGTCCCAGGAAGGCAGCCAGATGCAGACTACAGAGAGGGAGTGATTGGCAGAGCTCTGCAAGAGCCTCTATTTGTGCTTGAACCTCGTGTTATCAGAGCAGCCCTGCTCTGCTCTCTTGAAATGCCTTCTGCGGGTCCAGCAGCGTCTCCGATGTGGTGTTCGGAGATGTCCCAGCTGAGATCTACGCTTGCTGTTCATTAGCTGCGTTGTGAGCTGGTGCAGAGCCATAGAAGAGGGCCTGGAGATCCTTTGCCCTCTTGAAGGAGGCCAAAGCATGCTCTGGAAAGGCACTGGAGCTCAGCCCACTGGGAACAGGTCAAGTGGGGCTGGTTGGTAGTTTCTTTTGAGACCCAGATGAGAAAGCTGGTGGAGCCAGGAGGGGAATCCTACCGTCAAGAATGTTAGTAATTCGGCTGAGCTGGGATTTTATCCTGCTTGTTCAGTTACTGCTTAAACTAGGATGGCTGTGTAGGAAACAAGTGGGAGCTCTTGAAACAGGAGATCTCCTTAGGTCTGCCTGGCTTCCCGGGCCAGCTGGATGCAGGGTCAGACCTGGGGTGGGTTCTCCACCCACAAGTGATCCTCCTGGCTCTTCAGCTGGAACTGACCACCTACATGCAGTGCCTGGTTTCACCATGCTGGCTCTTGTGACTTTTAAATTTGAGTTCTGACCCTCTTTGCTTGCTGACAAAGAGGCCAGTCCATCTGTAGAGTTTGCGGTATGAAGAGACAAATAGTTTTTCCCGAGGTGATGCAGATTATGTGGGATGTCAAGTCACGAAGTAATGACCCATCTGGATGCCCAACGGTGTCACTTGTTAGTTGCCTGATTAATGAAGAAACGGTGATCTCAGTTCACTCCTTGTGACTCTGCCTTGAGCCAGTGCCGGGTGTTTTAGGGCTGTCCCTATCTCTTGTGCAATGACCTTTGAGGAGAACGTGCCCTGGCCCTGCTGCTCTCTGCATGACAGCGTCTCCAGGATCTCCATCCCCAGTGGGAGATGGTGTGGATCAGAGCCTCT